GAGCCAGCCAGAGGAAAGAGACTGAACACCGCGTGTGTTTCTGTGTTTCTACTCTGTGACAATGGGAGGAGTTATCTGATCCTCCCATTCGGACATCATTGATTGGCCGCCCCAAATATCACAGACACCTTAGACCTTAGGCTTCCCCAATCACTGTAGCTAGATCTAAATTGAATGCAACTCAAGACATGCTCTCACCTTCCCCCATCTTCCTTTGTCCTCAAAAACATATGTCAAACAGGCCCCACATCCAGCTCACAGTTCCACCCAAATTATTCCCATTTTAAGCTTATCCATAGTTTGCTAACATGAATAAATACAAATATAACTCTACAGTTTGGGCTTACCAGGTCTATCCAGAGGCTTCCCCCGCCACTCGACCCAACTCACCACCAGATGGTGATCAGTTGACAACTCCGCCCCTCTCTTTACCCGAGTGTCCAAAACATACGGCCTCAGGTCCGATGATACGATAACGAAATCGATCATGGACCTTCTGCCTAGGGTGCTCTGGTACCACGTACACTTATGAGCATCCTTATGTTCGAACATGGTGTTTGTTATGGCCAATCCATGACTAGCACAGAAGTCCAGTAACAAACCACCACTCCGGTTCAGATCAGGGTGGCCGTTCCTCCCAATCACGCCCCTCCAAGTGTCTCCATCATTGCCCACATGTGCGTTGAAGTCTCCCAGCAAGATTAAAGAGTCCCCTTCAGGAGCCCCATACAGGACTCTTTCCAGGGTCTCCAAGAAGGCTGTATACTCTGAACTGCTGTTGGGTGCATATGCACACACAACAGTCAGAGTTTTCCCCCCCATAACCCGCAGGCGTAGGGAGGCGACCCTCTCGTCCACTGGGGTAAACTCCAACAACGAAGCACCCAACCGGGGACTTGTGAGTATCCCCACACCCGCCCGGCGCCTCACACCTTGAGCAACTCCGGAGAAGAATAGAGTCCAACCCCTACGCTGTGCGTAGAGGTGAGCCCAACCAGATCGTACTGGTAATGCTCCACCTCCCGCACAAGCTCCGGCTCCTTCCCCCCCAGAGAGGTCACGTTACACGTCCCCAAAGCCAGCTTCTGTCGCCCGGGTCTGGTACGTCGAGACCCTCTGCTTTCACTGCCACCCTTCTGGCAGCGCACCCGACCCCATCGCTGTTTCCCGTAGGTGGTGGGCTCGCGGGACGGAGAAGCGGAGGTGTTGCCCACGTTGCCTTTTCGGGCTGTGCCCGGCCGGGTTCCGTGGCAAGCCTGGCCACCAGACGCTCGCCGACGAGTCCTCCTTCTGGGCCTGGCTCCAGAAGGAGCCCGGGGGCTTCCTCCGGGCCGGGTATCCTCACTTCCTGGTTTTCCTTTCATGAGGTCTTTTGAACCAATCTTAGTCTGGCCCCTTGCCTGAGACCAATTTGCCATGGGAGACCCTACCAGGAACACAAGGTTCCAGACAACACAGCCCCCAGGTTCATCAGGGCACACAAACCTCTCTACCACGGTAAGGTGCTGGTTCTTCAGAGAGGGGAAAGAAAACGGAGATGGTTAGATAAAATGTGCAAGATAACGTTTATGTAGCATTTATTTATTGTCGAAATGATGACATTTATAACGGGATCAAATCAAAGTGAATGGCCTGCTGCTGCTGCTGCTGAATGAATGGGGCAAGCGACTGGAAAAAGTTTTAAAAGTTATTACATCGTTTCAGATAATAAATAATAATGAAAATTCATTCTATTTAGGGGCGCCTTTCAAAGCACCCAAGGGCACATTACAATTCATAACATACCCAAGGAACGGTTTTAAGACAGTACAAATAATGCAGTCCGGGTGATGTTTTTTATGTGGGGTAGAGATGAGAGAGCTGTCCAGAATGACACCAAGATGTTGTGTTTGAGTTCTTGATAAGCCATGAAAACAGTAAAATAAGTGTCTCCTGTTCACCAAAACATACCCATCTGTTATGGAAAAATAAAAAGTATTCTAAAAGTCATCTGAATACGTTCGGATTACTTTCAGAGCCATGTATTCAGTATTCAGTAACTGATTACATTTACAAAGTAACCCTCCCAACCCTGAGTATAGGACAGTGAAAAAAGAAAAAAACAGTTTAAAAGGGGAGTGATTAGTCAAATATGCATACATAGAAATAAAGAATGCTAACTAGGTAACATAAGATAAGAATAAACAAGTTTAAAGGATTTGTTATTGGTTGTGATCATATTCTAAAGATGTTTGGATTATTGAAAAGCATACAGCTCCCTTTCGTCTGAGTGTTGAGAGCTGTATATAAATTCATGTTGTGCTCAAAGTGCACCAGATTGATGCATTTCACTTCAACATTTAAAAGAAAAATCTTCCCGGGGGTGCATGCCCCCGGACCCCCCAAGAGGATGTGAGGTCCCCCCTGGAGGAGGTGAGATCCCCCCTGGAGGAGGTGTGGACCCCCTAGAGGAGGTGAGGTCCCCCCTGGAGGAGGTGTGGACCCCCTAGAGGAGGTGAGGTCCCCCCTGGAGGAGGTGAGGACAAAAAACAACAACAGAGGAGTAAAAGTAGCTCATGACAGGTGGGGCTTGAACCCCTGTTCAAAGTGGGGAATGGCAGAAAAAGTTTGAGAACCACTGCCTTACCGTAACGCGACGCAGACGGACCCGGTGGGATCTATGGGTAAGTTGCCACTAAAGGTCCAGGCTGCGCTCCGTCGACATGACGTGCTTTTCTCCCTTTCTCCTAATAACAGCTGCGCTCCATGTGCTACAGTAGTTACAATTGTGCGTCCCGTCCAGTGTGCGAACTATACCACGGCGACGCCACACACACAACACAACGGCTCGTCTTCTTGTGTCTCTTCAGCCCCCAAGTTAACGTTAGCTGTCAAGTTAGCACTAGCACTGACGTTAGCTCCCTCCTCTCTCGGTTCTGTTGTAGCAGCAGTCATAACGTACGATGTGCTACCACCAGCTACATTCGGTTGGTCTTCTTGATCAGGTTGTTTGGCCGTCTTTTTAAAGAAATTGCCCAAGGTAGGTTGTTTTTTTCTTTTCGACATGTCAGCAGCAGCAACAATGCCTGGTAAACATGCAGTGCTAACTAAACGAGCTTGTGAGTGATCGAGCTGCGGGCAGCGTGCAAGCAGGCGACACTTTTTTCATGAATCATAAACTCTAAATATAATTTTATTTCACTTATTTTACACCTTTGGAAAAAAAAACATGCCCAAAATGGAATTTATTTGGTCATCATATCAATATTTTAGAGAGCTCCCCCCAAATTTCACAAACCATGTTCCCAGGGGAGCTCATGTCACCACTAGGGGAGCTATAGCTCCCCCTGCTCCCCTCCAGTTCACACCCTGGTGCCGCCAACAGAGGGCGCTTTTTGAACACACAACTTCTTAATTACAATTTATTTTCTGTTAACCCACTCATGGTTTTAGTTACTTAAATATAATGTTAGATGGTTAATGTATACCAAATCATCATATTTAAAAAAAAAAATACATATATTGTGTGTTTCTAATATACACCAGTAAAATACATGTAATTGAGTAAAAAGTACAAAATGGTCTCCCAAAATGTATAGTAGAGTATAAAACGAAAATACTTAAAATATGTACATGAGTATAGTACTTCAGTACATTTTTTAGTTACTTTTCACCTCAGATTAATTAAGCTTATCGGTCTTTCTTGAGGCACTGTGATTGGGTGATAAGTAATTAGCCTAGAGCTGATTTGCTGCTCTGCATGCTGTCTGCTGCTGTCAGAGGCCTGTCTGTCTAATTGGTGGCACTGGATGTGCCTCTTCTGCTTTCATGACCCTGAGGGGTGAAATATGAAATAAACGGGTCTGATCTGTTCACTGCTCTCACACGTAGTTTCTGTCCCTCTCACTGAAACAGCTTTACTGTTTTTACATGATACTGTGTTTTGTCTCTGAATGATCTGGATTATTGTTGATGAATTATCTTGTTTTCCTTTTACTGGTTGCGATTTTCAAGAGGCATACAAACATTTTAACAAAACACGTCTGTGTTGCACCTATTCAATGTTGTGATTTTCCACATAGGCCTACTCTCATTTTAATTGGAAACACTGAATTATATTTTCAACAAATCAAGTAATTGCAAGTCTTTATGGAACACACAGGTGACTGCATAATTATACATTTTACATAATAGCATTGGCATTACAACGATGCATGTCTGTATGATTGCAGAGGATTCCCAAGATTGTCATACAGTTATTTTTCCATTTATAAAAAAAAGACTGGTGGTAATCAAAAAAGTGTTTGAGCTTTTCATTGCATTAAATGAAACGTTCTAGAAAGATAAGACCTTACAAATGAACTGCATTCTAACACTTTTTGTCAGGCTTACTATTACTTCATGACGTCATTACTGTTTTTATTTGTTAGTTAATTTATTTTTACCAATTATTTGTGTGTGTTTTTCTTGATTTGTTAATTTGTGATTTGTGAATGCAGGATGGAAGGTAAAGCCGAGTCTTCAGATCAAATTAGTACATATGATGTAGATGTGATATCATATCATCCCAATCTATCTTCATGTAGGCTTTAATTGGAGGGGTCTCTTTCTCTCCGGGTCCCCGGGGACAGCCAGACTGTGCAGCGGGGCGGGGAGCAGCACCTGCCCCCTCTGTGCCTCTCCTCCAGCAGCCTCTAACAAAAGGAGAAGCGAGAAGCAAACAACGAGGAGCTGCGTCAAGCTGCCCGTGCGGAGCGAGGACATCACCGGAAGTTACTCGAGTTTGCCTTCAAAATAAAGGTTTTAGGTTGACGCTAGGAAACTTATGCGCGTTTGTGTGTGTTGGAGGATGGGCTCTCTAAGGAAGTCTGAAGGAAGGGGCAGATTCTCCATTCTTACCTACCCTACCTTTAAAGTCATACTTAAAGGGATGACAGTTCAGTGGAAGTTACATTTATAAGTGACGCGTTTAATTGTGCAATATAGAAACCGGAAGTCATTTTGCTGTATTTTCGCGGGCTTGACACTAGCGAAAGGAGACCAGAAGGTGGTCCAAAGAAAGCGAGGATGAGAGAGAGAGAGAGATAGATAGATAGAGAGAGAGAGAAGGATCCAGAGAACGGCTGTGAAACGCACGGACTCAGCGAGCAGCACCCCCTCCTCCTGCACACCTCCTCGGCTCCGCAGCGCAGAGAACACGGTCCGCATCCAGCAAGGTAAACAAACACACACCTTTTACCTCAAACTACGTACTCTCTTCTCTGTAATTCCCCATATATTTTTTATTAAATAAGCGCTGAAAAACAGAACGGCAGACCCATGTTTTCAGGTGGATGTTTAGAGCAGGTTTCTGCAGGATGAACGGGATCCCGCTTCTGTTTGACGCAATATACCAAGTGGAGGCTCGGACACACTCACAGTAGCCTGCGATTACAGCGTTTAGGGGCTCAACGTTACGCCAAAGTCCACATTACATTTAGGCAATTAAAGAAATGTGACAATTGTATGTCACCTACACGACCCTCCACCTCATAATAACACGCAGGAGCTTCGTGTGGCGTCGGCTTGGAATAATTCGCATTTATTTAGTTACCCCTCAACAGGAATGTCTTTATGTGTGTATGTGAAGGGAATAAAGCAGGTAATAATGCTGTGCTTGCTGAATATGTTGATTATGCTAAGATTATTTACACGCTAGTTAATCTACATCTGTATTCTGTGTTTTGCTGAAGCTAATTCCTTCATTGTTACCAGTTTGCTGAGAGGCTAAGAGACATGTGTTGTTAATATGTGAATGCTGGGAGCATTTCAGGATACTGAGCTGGAGTCAATCTGGCAGGAGGGTGCACACTCAGTGGGGGGTTCAGGGTCAGCACTCCTGCTGGTGCTAAGGCTGGTTTGGGGGCTGGAGCTGTGTGAGCAGTGCTTTCCAGAAAGGGATGGGGGCTGTAGGAGTGTGTTCAGAGGTCCTGGACAGGAGGACCACCGCTCAATGACCACTTTGATCAGGCTGCAAAGGATGAGTGCAGATATGACCAGGTTGTAATTAACCCTCTTGTAGTGTTCGTTTATTCCCCCCTACTTTGGTGGTCCCGGTCAAATGTGACCTGTCAGTTCCTCTTACATTAAAGGTCCCATGTAATGGCCATTTCTACTGATCATATTTCCATTGTTGAGGTCTAGAATGGATTTAAATTGTGCAATTTTCCAAAATCACATTGGTTTCTCATACAGCATCTCTGTATAGTATGTGTATTCACCAGGTATTCACTCTCTGTCCCCCTCCCTGTGAGCCCAGTGTGCTCTGATTGGTCGGGACGTTGCGAGGCTCGCTGCTGCGAGGAGCGGACAGGCTTCCGGGTCGGCGATACAGCGAGACACAGCAAAACTCATCCTGAGCACACACAAACACTCACAGCCGAAGTAAAAACAATAAGTGTGGCTTGATATAGAGTGGCGAAGTCCCTCCCCTTCCGGTGGACCTCCATGGGACCTTATTTCGAAAAAAATATGTATTGAAGTCAATGGAGAGAGAAAGATTATCTTTCGATCCCGTTTGAATTGTGCCACGAATTACACATATGATGTTTGTCAATTTAAAAGATAATTTTGCAAGTAAAAAAAAAGAAAATGTGTCGTAAAACTGTGAAGTAACACATTTGTTTGTGTGAAACGCTCAATGAACTACATCTCTGGTCTCGCAGAACAACACACGTCACCAAGATGGCCGTCACTACTGTCTTGTCAACAAAACAATTGACTACCCTCACTATCACCACAATGAAACACGTCCAGAAGAATGTCATGCAAAGCTGCCTGCTTGCCTTCCTTTGATTCTCTCTGAACTGCCTGGTCTTTTTAATGTTTAATGTCAACCATTTGTGCAGATAGCATGAAGTAGAAAAGATCGCCGATGCTAATGTAGCGTTAGCATTTCTCCCCCGGGCTTAAATGGTGTATTATAGAATGATCACCCCGGTGTGACAGTACTCTTCAAAGGGTTCACGAAATATGACTACTACTCTTACCGTTTAACATTTTGGGCTACTTAATGTTACTTCATATTAAGGCTAATAACAATTACAAGGCTGTAATGCTAACTAACGTGCTAGCTACTAGCTAGGTAGCTAATTTGATCCAGCCACTCCTGGTCCTTTCATCAGACGGGAAGCGAAAGAGCGAGCAAGACCCATTGCTGGTATGATAACAACCTGGTACTAAGCACACAGGCATCTTGTTAAAGTTATCTTATCTTAGCCAGCGCCATCTAGATAGATTCTATCTAGATGGCGCTGATCTTAGCTATCTCTTAGTGGAGGAAAACAATTGTGACATCACTTACGCGACTCTGGGATTTGTAGTCTTTCTAGTTGCGTATTTTTCACAGTCTTATATTTCAACAGTTTTACGACAAACTGTGACTTTTTTGACATGGAAATTATTTTCTAAGATTGACAAACATCATATTCATGGCACAATTCAAACGGGATCGAAAGATACGTTTTGTCTCTCCATTGACTTCAATACATTATTTTTCCGAAATAAGGTCCCATGGGTAGATGGGCGTGACTTCGCCACTCTATTCAGTAAGAAAAAGGTTTATAACGCTGTGAGAATGGGTCTGCGGAGAGCATTTCTCCGAGATGCAACTCGTCTATTACCAGCGTTCAGGGAGCTCTATGCAAGTCAATGGGGACTCCCTGTTAGTTAGCCAAGGGATCCTGGTGTGTGTGAGGTGCTCCGCGGATTGGTCCATTTGGGCCAATCCGGTCATTTGTTGTTGATTTGGGTGTTCACACGTCACAGAACCCAAGCAAACAATGGGAAATGAGAAATGTCCAACGAGGCGTTCTGGGGCAGCATAGACAGGTCTTTTCTGTGTTAGAGTTTTACTCGCTACAGGGTGTACTTTGAGGGTTTGTGACTCTGCAGACTGTTTACATGCATAGAAACCTTCATAACACACAAGGGGATGGGTAATAACCGGAAAAGCATGACATGCACCCTTTAACAAAATAAACATTAACATATTTTATTTACTACCATTTTAAGATGTAAACAATGTCTCGGACCACTGGTTTACATGAATAACTGAAGTGAATATGAATAGACTTGTATTACAAAATGAAAATGTTGTGGCTGTTTACTATCTGATGCAGTGGCGGCCGGCCCATAGGGGCGCTAGGGGCGCCGCCCCACCTCTTCCCACATACAAAAAAATATATTAAAAAAAATATTAAATAAAGATTTTTTTAATATTTTTATTTTTAATGAACAAGGTAAATATCATACAATTGGTATCAGTAAAATGTATAATCTACAATAAAATCTCGTTTAAAATTGTGTTACGATGTCTAAAGTTACTGATAAGTCACATGTTTCCTGCCTGGCCTTGCCCATTAGTTTATCATTACCGGGCGGAGCCCCCGAGCCAAACAGCAGCAACCAGCACGTTTCAAAAGTCTCAATAGTAAACTGTGCCGCCGAAACATAATTTCAGCCAATCAGCGCCGTCAAATATTTTGGTCACGAGGGCGCTCACGTCGGCGCCCACGTTGCTTACGTGCATTGACGTGAGTTGTTTTTTAGACTCGTGAGTGACCAAGGTGTTGGATGAGTTGGATGAGAATGGCTTCGTGTGCAGGTGGAGTCGCTGGAGCTCGGTCCCCGCCGAATTCCGTTCAAGAGCTAATCTCCAATCCTTTCGAAAGGAGACGTTTGGGAGATAAACTGTTGCTTAAAGACCTTGGACCGGACCAACCCGATTTGTATATATTGCAGCAAGCTCGTGAAAAAGACAATACGTATCAACGAGGCTTCTCACGTAGCTGGTACACCAGAACGGCATGGCTAGCTGGATGCAAACAGGTAAATGCTGTCTTTTGTTTCCCATGCTTGCTCTTCAAACAGCCGGGGACAGATACGATCTGTTCAGAAACTAGACAAAAGTTAAACAAGTACAAACCACAGACTGTGTCATGGAGAATACAGTCGCTGGTTTATTTATGTGTGTAGGCCTATAGGCCGTTGTTGTGAGTGTGGACGGTCGGAGCATATATAACGCTAGCTTAGCCAAGCTCCATTCAGAAAACAAGCATTCTAAAAGGTTTTTCGCCTGCCGTCTGTCTGCAGACTTGTCAAAGCATTAATTCATGGTTTTTACTAACCGGTATCAGTATGTTGTTACGTCGGCATAATTTAGAAACGTGTATTACAATTTAATCACGGTAAAATATGTTCATTTTGTTGTAGTTGTAGCTCCCGAGCGCCGCGTCTTGTTTGAATGATGCGAGTAAACACAGCTGGCAGCCGCGGTGAAACTCGAGCGACTAGAGCGATGCGATAGGAGCGTTTAGAGCGAAGCGAATATTCGCATCGCGTCCGGTCTGAACGCAGCATTAAAGCGAGCTCCGCACTGCACTGGAAACGTGCCATTACATCACCAGAAGTCCTAATTTAAGGGGTCATTTCTCCGCAAAACATTTTTTTTACTCACTATATCAACAGCCCCACCAAAAATATTTTCCATCAGCCGCCACTGATCTGATGGATGAACATAATGTGGGGTTACCCATTCATTTCCTAGGGCAGGAACACAATAGGTGTAACAAAGTTGACTCCACATAATGTAATGAAAGTGGTGATCAGCAGTAGGGATGGGAACAATTAATCGAATATTCGAATATTCGAAATTATTCAGGTATTCAAATAATTATTCAGGTATCGAATATGAGTTATTATTTTTTTTATTTATTTTTTAGGAGGGATGCCTAAGTTGATTACATATTATCAAATTGAATAATTCAATGTATACGACAGTGCCATAGCTAAATGTGTTAGTTGACGTCTAATGGTGTGTTTTGCTCCGCTCACCGGTCCCTCACAGCGGGCAGAGCTGCAGGTGCTGATCTCTCTCTCTCTCTCACTCGCGTTTATGTCCAAATCCATCAGATCTAGCTAGTTCTAGCCAATGATATGGCTGCTGCCCCTCCCTACACGCAGATCACGCAGACTCAAGCCTCATCTTATGCCCAAATGTAGCGCAAATGCGCTCCGCAGCCGTTGCGAGGTTCATGAGCGTGCTCCCCCGCCCCCTGTCAACACTCGCGACACATGGCCAGCCTAAACAACAATAAGCGCTGCTTGACAACCGTGTGTGGCGGCAAAGTACATAGACATTTTGACTGGAGAGATTTAGTTTTGCCGGTATTCAACT